GAAAAAAAAGGCCTATTTTACTTTATTTTATTTGAAAAAAGACTTTATTTGTGTGGCCTGTGTCAAAAAGAAAGAACAGTTTTTGTGCAATTCTCCCGCCCGTTATTTAGATGCGGACAGCCAAATATTTAAATGAAGCGCGAGACGAAGGAGAAAACTTCTCCTTTACAACATAAGTTCTTGTCATTCAATTTTCATACTGTGCACGTAGCCAAATGGCGTCTAGAACTGAGGATCAATTATACCGAGCACTACACTTACCTATCATATTCATTCTAAGCATTTAAAATTCCGCTTTTTAACCTTTTACATAACGGCGGCAGAACGTTTTTGAAAGTGGAGTGGAGGGGGTGGGGGCAGGGGCCATTTCATAAGGTCCAGTATGCAAGCAAAACGAGCATGTAGGCTGGGGGGCCAGGGAGCCGCAAAGGGCCCCGGTGGGGGTCTAGGGGGCGAAGTCCCATGGAAGCTATGAATATTTGACGAAGTTTGGTGAATTTTCTTAGTTATTTTATAGGCATCAAGCTACAGAAATATGACTTTATAATTGTTGTAAGGAACCCCTTGAATCTGCCACTGGGTACTTTTGCAGATGGAGGATGTAAACCACCTCAGCCCCACCATGGTTCGGGCCGAGGTAAGAAAATTTGTGATTATGGCACCTCTAGATGGACGGAAATTTCACTCCCAGACTTAAAATTTGAATATAATTTTCTTTATATCTCCATTTGAAAACATTTTTGAACAATTTAACCCCCCCCCCCCAATATTGAATCGGCCATGATGACAGTTATCCTTGATATGGGTATTCCCCGATGAAACCTTCACTTTTCCCCCGATGGATAAAAATCCTTCTATAGTGCCAGGATGATGATACTCCAACTGTGGTGGGTCCAGGAAGTCGAAATAGATTGGACCATGGAGGGTCTTGCGCGAATGAAATGTCCACCCACCTCAGCCCCACAACGGTTGGGGCTGAGATAAGAAAAAATTATGATTATGATGGCCGGAAATGGCACTATCAGATTAAAAGTTGTCTGTTTCCTCCATTTTTTTAATAATTATCGAAAAAAATAGGAGGTCCGTGCTGACTGGGCTCCCTCTTAAATCCGCCACCCACTGTTCAATATAAAACTTGACATAGCCTATAATTTTGTTTCACAAATGACTAATTCCTAATGTCAAGCGAAATATTTTTTATTCGAAAAATTTTGTTTATTCAATAGAGTTTTTACAACCTATAACACATTGACTAACAGTGTACTGTAAATCCTCAGTTATAACCTTCAGAAAACTTTATTTAAAAAAAATGTACCTTTTTCTTTAAATTAGATGGAGTTTAAATGTGGTTATATTACGCTAGTTTGAAGGTTACTGTAAGCCAATCAGTTACACTTACTGTACATCTTCATGGTTAGCATAAAGAGAACTAGCGTCGCCCCATAAATAGTGCCTACCTCTCCCCTCCCCATATGCTTAGATACAGAATTCACGAAGGGAGGTGTTTCTATTATTTTTTCTTCATGCTCGAGAGTGGGTTTCGAGGAAGGAAGTGTCTATGCTTACGCCGAGTCGTAAGCATTAGTCATAGGCTATGCTTACGCCGATCTATTGAGCATGCGCAGGGGTGGCGTAAGCATTATTTAGAGGCTATGCTTTTTTCTTCATGCTCGAGAGTGGGTTTCAAGGAAACGCGTGTATATACAGACGTCAATCAACATTTCGTTGCTCAACTCAAAAAGGGAACTTGTAATGTTCGTTAGAAAATTTTAAAAAAATCAATATTTTATAATAATAATAAGCCTATGGTCAATTTATAAGGCGCAAATAAACAGGGTCTCTAAGCACCAAACCAAATAATAATAATAATAATAATAATAATAATAATAATAATAATAATAAACATTACAG